GAGTAGATATCACTATGACATCCATACTTCACAGTCAACATTTGATGATGTGTACAAGATTGCGTAGCTGGTTAACAGAGATTCAAACCAGGGTCAACAGACTCCAGACTCCCGAATATACATTTCAGGCTGGCTTTGAACTTACTAAGCAGCCCAGGCTGGCCTTGAACTCACAATGATCCTCCTGACTCATCCTTCCCAGTGCTGGGATTACAGGCGTGCACCATCCCACCTGCAGAATCTACATTCTTAACTGCCCTACTGAACAGCAGCCCAGTTGTCATGCTAGTGACCTGGGATCACCCTGAAGGAGGATTCTCCTTCCGCATCCTCGTACCCTCCGTCCTGCTCTGCCACTTGAGATGTGCTCATCTCTCCAGTCCCTGCCTGCTCCCGGCACAGAGCTGACACAGATAAGGCGGGTTAGTGATTGCAGAATGAGCCTTTGACACCAAGAAACCAACGAGCCTCTCCCCCAGAAACAAAAGCCTAGGGAAAGAAAAGCCTGGTTCTCCGGTGGCGCTCTCCACTGATTGCTGGTCCACGTGGTGTGTGGTGAGAACTCAGGACAACTGATAAAAATAACAGTTGAACATATATTGAGGGAAAAAGGGGAGGGGAATAAAAAGAAGAGATTATATGTCCTGCACTCGAGAAGGGCCACTGCAGGAACAGGAGGACAGTGGGGAGGAGGCTCAAGGGCTGGTGTCTTTTTAATAATAATCTTCTTTTACTGTCACATCCTGGCTGACCCACGCAGGACCCTGAAGCCGTTCTGACCGCTTTCTGTGATTGACAGCTCATGCTGGCAGCCCTCCCCTGATTTTTCTCAGCCCTAATCCCCTGCCTTACCACCGCTGGTTCCAGTACCATGCCTAGTATTCGTTCATGTTCAGCATTCACTCTTTCAGCAACCTTCGGTGTTGTCTTCATAAATGTTAATTCTATCAATATCACTAACAATACTACTAAGAATACCAGTAAAATAATTATTGTTGCTACTAATAATTGATCATAATCGTGGAAATATTTATGAGACCTTCATTAACAATAATGATTACATCAGGAAGCTAAGACATTAGGCAAACAATTCTTGCGGTGGATCCCTTGAAAGGAATTTTGAGAATCACTGGAGGAAAAAAATCCTTTATCTTGTAACAACTATTTATGATGTTTCTGGGTTCTTCTATATATTGCTAGCACAAGAAAGATCAGAGTAAAATAATAAAATGACAAGAACAGACTTACTTTTGCGCAATGTGGAGTGTTGCCGTAACGCAAGATGGCAGCCATCTCTCTTTTTTGTCCGTACAATTACCTCATCAGCGAGTTCTACGCCATCTCCTTCAGTCGACCACTACATTTCCCAGGATGCTTTGCCAACAATGTCGTCTTTAGTGGGCGCCGACGGAAATGCGCCTGCTTGAGCGGAAGTGGAAAAAATCTTACAGACCTGGAAGGTGGGAGCCAGAGGAGCTGTGAGGCTGTGAGTACTTGGGTGCGTCTGGCGGCTTAGCGGTGGGAAACGTAAGTTGGGGACAGCCTGCCGGGAAGCGCAGGTTAACACTTCTCTAACTCTGGGTACTTAAACTGCGTTCTTCTTGGTCTAGGGGCGGGGAGAAGCGGGATATTGATTGGAGGCGAAAGCTTCGTATTACTCTGTTGGTGCATTATGTGTTCTTGGAACAAGCTAGGGTGAATTGGGACTCTTGTCACCACACACGGGTCATTGGCGTGATTTTGCTGCGACCGGAGGGGCGGGACTGCGGACGGTCTGACTCAGCTAAGGCGATGGTGGTTCTTCGTTGGCTGCGCATTAACCTACAGATGCCCCGGCCCAGCTCCACTCTGGACCGCAGTATTTTCTAAGCTAGTCTGAGTGTTACTACGCAGCGAAGGTTGAGAACCATCCCTCTAAGTGCGGATGACTCCCGAGAGGATCCTGATCGGGACGCGGTGAGGCGCCTGGGCGCTCCCACCACTGTTACGCTGGCCTTATCTCCTGTGTTTCTGTCAAGTAGGTGATCACGGTTTTGATACAGATCGCATTTTGAGCTCAACGAAAAATTTATTTTAGAGCTTCTGGTGGCGGTGCTGGCAAAGACGGAAGTTTATTTATGACTTAGTCATTCTGAGCAAAACTTAGGGCCATTTCATTTTTCTTGCTACTGTCTAGCCCCACCACCACCCGCTTCCCCCCCCCCGCCCCCCACCTCGACAAAACATGGAGTATGAAAGAGTCACCTTAAGGCCGGGGAGCTAGCTCAGTTAAAGAAGTGCTTCCCTGGCAAGCGCAAGGGCCAGAGTTCCATCCCTGGCTCTGCAAGCAAACAAACAAAAAGTTTCCGAGAGTCACCTTAAAATCGGTCTCTTGTTAGGGGTTGGAAGCGCAGCCCATTGATCAATAGGCCCCGGATCTGATCAGTTCCCATCACCAAGGGGAAAAAACAACTTTGTCTCTTGTTGCACATAAGCCGTGTAGGTGTCAGATTTAATGAAAAGCATATCAGTCAAAATAAAGTTCGATATTATTTATGGGTTTATAAGTGATAATCACTTATTAAGTAATGAATACCAGCAAACGGATCTTAGGTGTATATTGAGCTTTGATGCAGAGATTTTGTTAAAGTACAAAAGGCAGAATTTTTCGATGTAAGTTCCATTTCTTTCCCAGAGCTTCAGCCTCACCTCCCTAACAAATCAGAATGGAGGAGAAGTCAGAGAACTGTAAGGTTCCAGAGGATCTGGTCAATGGTTTGAAGATTACAGAGCCCCAGGAAGCAGATTGTGCCCGGCCTGCAGCTCCTGATCCTGTAGATCAGCATTCCCAGAGCAAGCAGCTCAAGGATGATGAGGACCAGGGTGAAGAAGAGTGTTTTCATGACTGCAGTGCCTCATTTGAGGAGGAGTCCGGAGCGGAGAAGGTTCAGAACAAAGCCGATGAGGATGTGAATTCCTCGGAACTAGATGAAGAATACTTACTAGAACTGGAAAAAAATATGCCAGATGAAGAGAAACAGGTAAATATTTAGCAGTTTCTGGTACTTTAATAAGCGCTGCTCCAGTACTGTCAGTTCTCTAGTGCCATCAGGATTTTAACAGTTGCATGATTTGGTTCAGTGTAACTCATACATACAGTTCTGCCTACACTCAGTTTAGTAAAACATATTGGTCTCCTCAGGTAAGAAATGATTTTTTAAAGCTCTATAAATATTTTAAGATAATTATTGCTAGAAAATCAATGGTATCAGAATAATTTTTGTGTTTTTACCCCCTCTTTAGAAAAAACTGAGAGCCAGGTGTGGTGGTGCTCACCTGTAATCCCAGCACTCAAGGGGCTGAGGCAGGAGGATAGTTGTGGGTTCGAGACCAGCCTGGGCCACAAAGTAAGCTCAAGGGCAGCCTGAACTGTTTAGAGAGACCCTGTCTCAAAAGACAAAAAAAAAAAGAGAGAGATGTCATTTACATATGGTACTTCAATAAGCACTGCTCCAGTACTGTCAGTTCTCTGACATCAGTTCTAGCAGGTCCAACTTACATCCCTGTCAAAGTGTAGAATGTCTGCACCGTATCAGAAGCTCCCTTTGTGTACATTCGTTAGTCTGTCCTTTTCACCTACCAAACCCGGCATCTGTTGTTCCAATTCTCACCCCACTGGTGGTTTTTTGTTTGGTTGGTTGGTTGGGTTTTTTTTATGTATTTGGTGCAGGGTCTCTGCAGTGTGGACTAGTAGTGGTCCTCCTGTTTTCAGCCTCCCCAGTGCTGGGATTATAGGTGTACGCCATCACGCCAGGGCCCAGCCCAAACTGGGTCTCAAGTGGCCGGCTCAGTGTGCCTAGGGGCAGGACCAGTGTGGCATGTGGTGCTGGGGATCGAACCGTGGTCCCTGTGCTTGCCTAAGCAGGCCTTAATCTGCTGAGCTATCTCGCCAGACCCCCCCCCCCCCATAGGTGGCTGTTTTTTTGTTTTGTTTTGTGCAGGGTCTCACTACCTAGCCCACATTAGTAGTGATCCTCCTGATTTGTGCCTCCCAAGTGCTGGGATTACAGGTGCGCACCACCGCGCTCGGACTCCATCGCCGGCTCAGCGCACCCAGAAGTGGGGCCAGCGCGGCACGCAGAACCAGGGATTGAACCCTGGCCCCTATGCTTACCGAAGCAAGTGCTTAGTCTGCTGAGCTACACCGCCAGCCCTCAGAGGTGGTTTTTAAAGGAAAACAATGAACTGTTTAAATAGCCACTGGTTAAACCTTGCTGTTGAGTGCTTTACATATGGTTGGTACAGTTGAGAAGCTAAATGTTCTTTTATTTAAATGGTGTGGCTAGTAAATATTATTGGACAAAACAGGCTTAAATACCTGATTTGTTTCCAGATATTTATTTTGAGGAAATCAGCAGAGGCATGCTTAAATACATGATACATACAAAGATACCTTGCAGCATCATTCATAATTTTGGAAGGCTAGTGTAGTGGTTGATACTAGACAATGTTGAGCAGGGATTTATGGTATAATTTATTTGGTCTTTGTCTCTGATTCCTGTTATAACCTAGCCCCTGAAACTCTGGGGATTTCCTAAGCAGTAGGGTATCTTTTGAGAGCACCAGGGTTTTTGCTAAATAGTTGATTTTGGGTGGTGCTACTAGAGGGATGACTCAAGATGGGATCAGTCACCAGAAAGACCAAGGGATTCCAGAGTTGGAACTTCAACCCTCCTCTCCAGATGCCAGAGAGAGGCCTGGGAGAGGTGCTAGAGATGAGCTCAGTAACAGCTCTTGGACTGGATTGCTGCTGAGCTCCCCGATGCTGGGCATATGGAGGTGCTGCTAGGAATGTGGTCTCAGAGAGGGCGTGGAGCTCTGCCCCCCCCCACACACACACACACACACCTTGCCGGGTACATTTCATCCTTCGTAAAGTTGTTAAGTGTTAGTTAGTGAAGCATTTCCTTGAGATCCGTGAGCCATCCTAGCAGACTATCCAACTCCTGGTAAAGATGATGGAAACTGGTCATTGGAAGCACAGTTTACAACATGAGACTCACTTTGGTGTCTGAAGTGGGACAAATCTAATGAGATAGAGTCTTTAACTTGTGAGTCCAACATTGCCTCCAGGTGTAGTTAGAATCAGAATTTAATTGAATTACAAAACATCCATTTAGAGACTTGCTTGGTATGGAAACAAACCTCAGCTTTGGTGCTAAAAGTGTCATGGGGGTATAGTAAAAGAAATGCTGTGTTTTTCTACATTATTATTTATAAATTTCCGTTATTTGTACAGTGTGCAATGCAGTTTTAAAAAGGGAAAATCTTAGGTATCACAAGATACTTGTAATGTCATTGAGCTAAACAGATTATAAAATGCTGATGATTTCTTCTACATTAAAACATGAAAGTATTTTCCTACATGAAAGTTTAGAAGGGGGCTGGTGAGTTAGCTCAGTGGACTAAATGCCTGCTTAAGCCAGCACAGGGTCCAGGGTTCAGTCCTGCATCACACTCCAAGCCTGCTGCACCCCTGGACACACACACACAGCTATAATCCTAGCA